AAAAAATTAATATTATAATAAAGACAAGTTAAATTAAGATTATTTTCAAGGAAATGAAATCAAAATGAAGACGGCGTTTTTAAAGCTGAGCTAAGATGCTAGGATGAATGGAAAAATGGAATGAAACCAGTTAACTATTAAATGTAATTTTTTAAACAAACTGAATTACTAATACAACATTTATTTTTTGGAGTGTTTAAACGTTGTAAAATGTATAAAAAATATTACATAACTAAATCTAGTCATAATGGTATACGTGGATTTGCAAGTTCATCATCCATTTAATGTTCATCTCTATGAGTTTACGACTCTTTTTAATCACATTTTATTAAATTTCGACACGTATACACAATGTATATGACATGTCCACTGAAACCAAAAAGAAACGATAAACATTTTAAATTTCCTTAGCAGAATAAATGAACTAATCGTCGACAAATATTAAAAAGGATTTTTAATTTTATTTCGGTTTCTAGTTACGGTAAGTGTGATCAGAAACAGTCTGTTGAAGGAGGGCAACGTATAAATAATTTCTCCATTCGAAATTATTTATTTTCACTGCTCTAATCCATTATCACCGGAAGTAGTACATTGCCGGTTTTTAGATTTGGACAAGACTCAAGCATATTGTGTATAATCACGAATTTCTGATGAATTATAGCCAGTGAAGCAAGGCCAAAATATTGCTGTAAGTAAGATACATTACTCAAGTTTAAGAACTGATAATAAATATAATCATAATGACTTACTGTATGATAAAAGTCTACAAAAAAAAGGCAAATTAGTTCAATTATGTTCTAGTGATATATATTTTCAAAACCAACCTTTTAAATCCTTTGAGCTAAAAATAGGCAAAACAAATTTTTTTATTCTTTTTTTATAATTTAGCTTTTTTACAGACCTATTAGGACATAATTGCCTTCGAGCGTATAGCGTTTGATGTTCCTTTTCAAGTTTCGGCAGAAGATCAGTGATTGCAGCATAAATTATTGAAATAGGCTTTGACTTTAAGAAGAGCTGGGTCAAGAATACGTTTAGTAAATGGATTTGGAGACGATCTTACATTTTTCTCTATGCAGTGGCTTCGTGGCACCAAGAAAATAAAAAAAAGGACAAACTTCCATTTCGACATTTCGTGTGTTTTTCTTAGCTATAATGAACGGACTAACTCAACGGACAACAATAACTTTATGGGAATTGCAATAGTAAATAATAAATAGTAATTTACCAACTCTCATTGGAACGAATGAATTATCAGTTGCTCTTTTATTTTCCACAGTTCGCTTCAATTCTCAGTTGCTAGTGAGAAAATAATGCAATACGAGAATTTTAAAATATTTCCATTCAATAAAAACGTAAGTAATAAATGACATTGTTTAATTTTAATATAGATCATTTTTATTTCCTTGTAATGACTAACATTTTAAAAAATTACAATTCAATATTTTGGATAAATTATTTTGTAAGCATTATATTTGTTTTTATTTTCGGCTTGTGTTTTTTCTTCGTGCTTTTTTATCGCCTCCTTCTCACACACTATAATTTGTTAATTTGTTGTTTACAATAAGGTTTAATTTTTTTTCATGTTCATTTTCTCAATTTTTATTTTATTTTTTTTTTGCTGCTGCTGGTTTGAAGTTTTCCTTTTATTTGCTCGTTTACTGCATGCAATTTTTGAGTTTAAATGTATGTAGTCTTTAATGTAAAACTTTGTAGTTCTATAATACATATATATATTTAATTATATATATAGATATATATATCTTTGAGTCACACACACATGCGTAAGAACTTATGCATATATGTGCGAGGCTGATTGGTATTGTATTGTTCAAATAAGCAATGTGTTTAGCATATAAAAAGAAGGCTCTAATATAAACAAATGTGTTTTTAAAATGTAAGTTAAAAACAAATATCTAAATAGATTATGCCTTGCTTTGTTGATAGCTAAATTATGTGCACAGTGCAAAAAAAGTAAACAGTAAAACATACATAAAGCAAATTTTCGGGGGGTAAGCTCCAAACTAATATGCGATTAAGTACATTTTCCCGTTTTTAGAATATGACTGTTAAGTAGATATTTTTTCTTCACCATACACCTTTCCTCTAGTTCGCTATTTGACATTTTTGTTTAATAATTTCCTTTGCTGCTTTTACATTTAGATTTTGTGTTTATTCCAGAATAGTTTAATCCAGAAAAACAGGTTCAAACTACTTTGACGAGCCTTCTACAACCATTTAATGGGGTATACGGGCTATTCATAATTAACATATGCGTATAAGTCTGTTTATATATGCTGAGGGCGTAAAATTAAACTCTTTTTTTTAGCTTGGTGTGGGATGGCTGAATCGAATCGTAAAATAACAATAAATTACATTAATTAATACATACAAATTACACAATTGTTGCCAATACATTTCAATTTGAGATTTGAGGTTTAATAATTACTGGGGCTGTGGTTCAATTTTCCGTCTATTCTTTTGGGTTCACTGTGGTACTTGATTATTTCCATTTCTCGCTTTGTTGCCTATCAATTTATATTTCTTCACTTGCTTTTCTATCCGCTTGCTTTTTTTTGTTTTTGAAAAAATGAACACTTTTTATCTGGTGGGAATATACATATGGTTTTGGAAATCTATTGCACACAACATGAATTCTTATGGCCATTTTTGTGCTTTAGTCGCGCCTTTGGCTTGTATTTCTCCAAAAAGGATAGCTGCTTGGCATTGATGGCCCCACGTCGTTTACTGGGAAATGTAATGTAATTATTAAATAATGTCTACTCCGTTTGTATAAAGTGCTACTCACTCTCTAATCATTTCCACAGCTGCCTCGTATTTTAAGCCCAATTCAATCAGTGCCAAGGCAACCAGAACGGGAGCTCGTCCCAGACCAGCCACACAATGAACAGCGACGCAAGCCTCCGGATTCTGTTGATATCTGAAAGTTGCAAAAGAGCATTTAATATTTCATCGTAAAATAAAAACCTGATCTTACTTTTATTGTTATGAACTAAAATTGCTTTAGGCTAGGCCTATAGATCTACGCTTACCGACAAGTTTCATTATCAACAAATGCAGTATTATTATAAATTGCTGAGGCTGCCTCGCCAGTATCATTGAGATTATCATTGGCTGTTAGGGGAATTGTATCTGTGGCCCGACCTGTGGCTGCGGATAGACTGGCTCTGGTTGCTGAAGTTCTTATTGCAGTTGCAGTTGCTGTTGTTGGTGGAACTGTTTTTGGTATGTGTCTGAGCGAGAATCGCTTATGTTTGTAGTAGGATAGTGTGGCGCTTGTGGACTTTCTAAAACTAGGGCACAGCAGCAGCGGTATCATAAAATAGCACACGAAACGAATCATATAGGAAGGTAAGGTAAGTTCTCGTTGATCAAGTTTGATAGCTTACAGGTAATACAAGTTGTTTATGGTGAGTGGAATTCGAAATTTTTACAAACCGAAAACATTGAGAGAGTATGAGAGAAGGAATGTGCAGAAGTTTTGATTTAACTAAATTCTGTACAGCAACTTATAACTGATGAGCATTGGAAATTATACAAAGTTAGCAGCTAAGGCGATAGCGGGGTCTACAAGCGGGGTTCTATACATCTTCTGAATGTGGTTCTCTTTAGATGTGTGGATCACTTTTTGTAACAGCTCATTGGATATGTGGCTAGCGCAGCATATTGATTTTCGTTGGCTTTTATTTTGAGTTGAATGTAGTAATATTTTGTTATCATTCGATTGAGTGGCATAAAGCAATAAATAATACTGAATAAATTGATCAAAATCACTTGAGGTTACTTTTTGTATATTCGCGTATACTTCGAATATGGTTAATGATAACTTGGAAATTATATTTTAAATAAAATAATACAATATATTTTTATATGGCTAAACTATGATTAGTAATGTAACTATTAGGACTGGAGCTGTGATTTCATTAAACTAGTTTGTTAAAAAATAAAGTTGATTAGTTAAATTTAAAATAACTCAAAGATGCTTCTTAATTAATATTACTAATTTAAGTAATGACCAATTCTACACACAGCTCCAGTTTTATTGTGAAATCTAGACCAATGTCTTACGCTTAATGTAAGAAATGAGATTCAAAAGATAGAATTAAGTAAATAATAATAATCTACTCGAATACAAGAGCGTTATCATTTTACTTACTTATCCTTTAAGACCTCAAACCACTCGTCAACGACCTGTTGAGGCGGGAAGGTGCCGTCCTCAAAGGCCAGGTCCTTGACAGAAATGCCTTGTGTCTCGAGCTCGTCGGTATTATAGCTGGGCTCGCATACGCGCACCACAGTGTTGACATTGTTCTTTTTCAGCTCCTACATATGAACGATATAAAAAATGAGTGGGGTTTTTGTATGAAAATTATAATTGCTTTAGCTTACCGTAATGTAATGGTTAATTGTTATGTCTGATGGTCGATCGGTGATTAGGAACTTCATGCCCTTGTACTCAATTAGAGCGGGGGCTGGGCGCAGATCTTTTTGACGCATGGTGATGCTCATAAACAATTACAAAAGCAGTTCTGAAGGAGTTTCTCGGACTCGTGTGTGCACTTATGTTAAGTCTCTTACTTTCTTACAATCTTGAGGTGTGGTTTTTGTTTGGTTTTCACAAAGATTTGATTGGTTTGTTAACGGAAGTAGTTTGATTTCTAGATTAAAAATTCAGCGTGTTAGAGGCTTACAATTGAATTTCGTTTAGGGTTGAGTTATGTATAAAAAATAAATATAAATATAATTAACTCTGATTTCGTATCGTACGCTTAAATGTTTTACACCGAAACACAAACCTAAATTATCGTTTAAGTAAAAACTTGTTATTTCTTTTCTTTAAATAAGTACAATTTTGGATTTTTCTTCTATCACAAAGAAAATCAATCAATTTTCTGTGACCGAAAAATGATTCCCTGTTAAGTGTCACACGTATTTTAAGCTAACAAAAATGATTTGGGCTCAGTTTTAGTTTTGTTTTCTTGCAAATATTACAACTTTTTCTCAGTTTCGTTGTTAAAAATTAAAATATCTCCTTGCTGTGATATGATCTGCGATCACCGCGATGCTAAAAATTTAGTTTTTTGCTTTCTCTCCCATAGATTGACAGACTTTGTCTAATTGGGGCCGCTGCTGCCGCTACATCAGCTGATCCCTTGACGGTATTTAGCTGATCTGCTCCACACCACTTATCGACGTCGACTTCCGAAGAGGTGACCGTGTTCACTCAGGCTATCACCGCCTTGTTTGAGGATTGCTTACCTGCAAGGAATAAGACTTGAATTAGTTGAGTTCCCGACAAATCTGGCGTCAGTCGGTTTGAGCTTCTTTGTTGGATTTCTCTTTGTTCATTCAATTGAAAACAATTCGTGGGAAACTAAAAAACAATTTAGCTCAATTACACGCAATGAAATAATTGAGACTTTCGCCATTTTCGTCTCACACTGTGCTCGCTTTTTCACTAAGTTCTTGGTTCTTAAGGGCGGGCCAAGGAGGCAATTGTCCAGAAAGGTCACAGTACGTCAAGTGACCTTTCCATCGCTACCCACTCGCCCGCCCGCACAACTTGAGCCAATTAATTAAACAAAAAGTCCAGATCCGCGGCGAAAATAACCCATACTCACTTTTTATTTGTGCTGTGCCTGGCAGTATTCTGCACTGTCTAGATGAAACTCCATAGATGTGGGAACAGGTCTAACCAACTGTAAGTACAAACAAAATAATATTTATAAATTATAATTGAAGCTTCAATATATTGGAAAAAATCAGCTTAAAGCTTAAAGTTTACAAAGAAATTCGGATTGTAAAAAAAAAGCAAAGAGGCACTCCCAAAAGTCACATGCAAATAGAAACCATGGAACAGAAGAGAAACGGCAAAAAAAAGGCCATTCAAATGCCGTAAGGGCTAAGGTCCATAAGCGAAATGAGTAAACTATGTATATTATTGATATCCGTATATTACAAAGCCGTAAGGGAAAATGCTATCAAAGAAAAATCGACTAAAAATATTGCTCTAATGTATTGATTTAAGAAATATAGTCATTTCCTAAAAAGTAATAAATCTCAAAAATAGACAAAAACTTTCATCAACTATTGTAAAGAAAAGAAAACAAAAAATATAGGAAATCTTTCAAGTGGATATTTTAAAATCTTGTAGACACATTTGAAGTGTGTCGGTCGTCTGCTCTCTGAACGAAAACATTAAATTTTGTTCCCCAAAAGCGATCCAAGATAATTTCTGCTCATTTCCAAGAACATTTACATTATTTATATTCCGTTGTTGATCGTGAAAAACATATGTATAAAATGAGTTCTCAAATAAAGACAGAACCAGAACAATGATTGTATAATATGTATTCCGCATATAAGTATACAACGTGCATATCTACACAAATGCGATAACTCTTTAAGCAAATATTCCATTTTTTATGGGCACAGTGCGACCTGTGTTTATTTTTGCATTTTTGGCCTAAAGTAGGCGAGCAGTTCTATTGAAACTTTGCCCAACGATTGTTACCAGGAAAAGGCATTCGGATCGTAGGGGAATCCATAATGGAATACCGTATGATATAGAAACGCGTGGAACTAATTAAGAAGCGGGTGCAAAAAAAAAAAAAGAGAAGCAAATTTTTGTTGATAGAAGTGAGAACTTTCACTTGTTGTTTGTATGCACCTAGTACATACTAGTACATACTAGATTGGCCTGTCTGTGTGTTTACCTCATGACATGTTAAGCAACAACACTTTTTGTTGATGCTATTTCCCAGTCGGTTTTTACTTGTGACTTATGCAATATATTTTTTGTGTTTTGCGTCTTGGCGAAATTCAACAGTCACACAGGCGAATATATAAATATATTAGTGCCAATATATATATTTCAACGTTGTAATCAAAGAGCAATGATTATTTGCTGATTACGATAGGCTTGTAATGCGGCTATATGAAATCACGATTAGATATCGACCGGTGTGTCGTTGCCAAGACACTAATCGCTTTTATGAGCGGATCGGAAAGCACTATCTTCTCTCAGTTTTTGGGGACTACTGAGAATGGTCCTTCTCATCTGGCAAGCGGATAAATTCAAATTACCTATCGTTAATCGCCTGTGATGCGGCGGGATAGGATCTCGATTAAATATCGACAAGTGTCGATTCTGAGACGTTGATCGATTACGATTACCACACTAAGCAGACGCGTATTGCTGCGCGATGAGCACTCTCTCATGTTTTGCAATCGACTGGCGATTGTCAACTCATCGCCGCCCATTTGTATGGGGGCCACGGCCCCCTCTCCGGCAGTAAGTCTCCATTGCCGGAGAGAGCTGAGAGAGTCCCATGACGCACATCTCTCCAATCGCTCATGCGAAGAGATTGCTCTCTGCCCCCTCACCGCCCCCACTTCGCCACCCAGAAAAAATATTCTACAGTCTGCTGCATATTTAAAGCGCTTTAAAAGGTTTGCTGTGCAAATACTATGAGGGAATAATTACTAGTACTTTTAGTTAAATATTTGTAATTAAAAAAAAATTCCTTTTAATTTAGCTTAGTTTATAACATCTTAACCGAAATTTGATTTGTTTTGTATTCTTTCCAGCCTTTAAAAAAAAGTGTATCACTATGTCAACACTATTATTTTAAACATTGCTGTATTTTAGAGTGCAATAAAACAAAACCAAAACAAAAATGGTGTTGACATCGCATAACAAACACTTGAATTTATGGCCAATACAAACCATAAATTCATGTAATTGTTCAATAATTTAAAGAGCTATAAATGGACAAAGTCATAAAAGCATTGGATGTGGAATGGCATGGGAATATTATATTTTAACTGGGTGAAAAACTATAATTCGAAACAACCCAAATAAATAATGCCTTGAAAAAATCTAAAAGCTTTGGGGACGCAAAATAAAAAGTTTGTGTCAACATTTGTAATATATTTATTTAAGATAACCAATTAAACAACTTTTTAAGTGCACTGGCTCAGTTAAAGAAAGTTTTGCGGGCAGATACAACTTTTGCGGGATCCCAAGGTCAGTCGTTATTTAAGGGCAATAAACAAAGCTAAATGCGGTTTATTATATGCACAGTTAATGAAGGCTAAGTCGCACGAAAACATGTAACTTAATATGAAAATAGTCGCACATTTAAACCAGTTGAATCCAATCAAGATGTAGGCAAATGGCATAGCGGGAGACTAATTCACAATTGTGGCTATATAGTTACTTAACATATGTATGTATACTAAGTACATAGTTGTCACACTTGGCTGCCCATCGATACACACACATTTTCACAACATTGAATTTTACACATTTTTTTAATGACATTTGGAAATACCTTTTTTTAAGAATTCCTATAAATACCCCTTTTTTTAGATTTAAGCTTCGATAAATAGTTTATAATAGTTCATTTATACTTTGCGATTAAGGCAAAACCAATGTTGTAAATGTGCCTTAATGCAATTTTTCTTTTTTTAATGCTTTTCAGGTAGCAGATGTGCTCTGTCTGAAAGCCAAGTTGATTGGACTTTTCCGAGACCAGGACCAGACAACATAGACAGCGTGGCAGACAATGGAGAAACAAAGAAGGGCTCAAGTTGGATCCGAAGAAATCTAGAGGTAAAAAAAACCAAATGGGATAAATAAAAAAGTCATTGAATGCCGGTGTGTCTGCGTTTGGATTTGGGGTTCAAAGTACTTCAATTCAATTCCCTTTTTTTTTCTTTGGCAGCTTTCAGGTTTTGTTTAGACTTTAACTTCAATCCTGAAAAGGCAGACAGCCATATTTTCGCGACCAATCGTTTTTTCACAAACGATGTAAACAAATTGAAAATGAGTAGCAAGAAATGTGATGAGGGTAACTGCCATTCAAGCCTCAGCTTACTAAACTAATATCTGTCTACAGGTAGGTGTCAACAAAACCCAGACGGCAAAGCCAGACATAATGCAGACCACACTATACACCAAAATCAAACTGATTGGGCACTTTTTCACACACTTTTTATTATTAACAACTCACAGCAATTCAACTCAGCAGGAACTCGGTAGACTAAACAATGTTTTAATAACTTACGAAAGCATAAACAATTCTGGGGGAATACTTGATTTATGAATAATTAATTCGGAAATGATATACTCGACACGACACACTCGATTTGGGCATTCAATAATTTATAGAGCACTGAAATAAAATTCAGAGCCAACTTTAATTTTAACTGATTTTATAATAGAGCTGAAAAATTATCGATAATATCGATGTTTTCAAAGGAAAAAATATTTCGAAATCATGGTATATTTTCAAGCTCTATTGTAAAATTCGTTAGCTTTAAAGAAACTCTCGGAACTTTTATTTACTAACGCAATATATCTCTTAATATTCCGAGAACCCATCAATTAGGCTTGGTTAACATTAGTTCACCTTAGTTAATCAAACATGAGGCACGCACATTCCCAGATTTGCAAAGTATAGGTATTAGGAACCCAGGAAGGACGAATAATTCGCTTCGTGCACCGCAAGCTACTCAAACTGGGACTGAGTCCAAGTTACGAGTTATTGATTTTGCGACTACTAATGGAGGATGGGGCATGTGACCATGCCCAGTCCCCACCACAACCTCCTGCCATCCTTAATTTCGTTATTTCGCCATAATGGAAATTTTGAATTTGCCCAGAAGCTTTTCTGTGTGCATCCTGGCCAACGAAGAGGAGATGAGCAGGAAATGGAAGCTATGGGGGAACTAAAAGTCCAACCGTCTTTCAGTTGCCAAGTGGTCGACGATGTTTTTTTTCGTGACGCACCACAGGCGTCTTCTTATGCGTCATCGTCTTTTTATCGTGAAACAGCTGTTGTTGTTTGGTTCTGATAAAATGAATAAACAATAACAATAAATAATAATGAACAATCTTGTCTTGTTATTGCAATTATCAAATGCATGTCGCTGCCACAAATTGCATGTCCTTCAAGGTTGATTTAGAGACAGGGAGTAGAGTACAGAGTACTGGGTACTGGGTACACTAGCAAAATGTCGTTTTAGTTGTTAGTTTTGGGTATTTTGCCTTAACCAAGGGCAGGGCAAAACTATTGAGGACAAACCGCGCTCTATATATAGAATAATGGGCATGGTGGTCGTCGGTGGGCGGTGGGTGGTGGCATTTCCCCCAATGTCCCCCTATCTACCACCCTTCATCGCCCACTGACGTTTGTAAATCGTATTGCATGCTTTGTTGTTTGTTTTTTTGTTCTATTTTCGGATATGACATGTATTGGTGAAATTCTGCACACAAGCTGCCAAAACGTGACAGCAGTAAAAATACAGCCCGATGATATATAACCAGGAAAAGTTGTTTGAAAGTTCCCAACAACTCTCATTCCATTTCGCAAGTTCTAATTAGCGAGTGCTTACAACAAATGTAAGAGCGTATCTAATTAGTTCGCAGTTGAATTTCAGCATGGAGTAGTAGTTAAGAAGCTTACTTCAAGATGCTCAGAGAACCAATAAATTTCACTAAATCAAAATGACCTCAAACTAATTGGTGGCAACAGTTTAATGATCATAAATTCTTCCATATATTTCGAAGAACTCAATTGATATTTGTATGTGTAGGAATATAGAACATTTAAGAACTGGTGGAAAGCAGATAAACGCAGAAAACAGACAACAAAATGCAAACGGCTGGAATCAAATAAAAAAGAAGAAACTGTATACACAGGCGTATACGTAATCTCTATCATTCGGGCCACTCAGGAATATTTTTGATAAGAAAATCGAATTTAATAAAATGTTAGATACGACTATTTCCGACTATTTACTTAAAAACGTGATTTTAAAGGGTTCTAATGACTTCTAATACTCTTCTATGAATAACAATTCATAGTGAGGAGAAAATAGTCTTGATGGACGCGACTTAATTATCGGGAATTAGTAAGTAATGTGTTAACTGATCTTTTATATTTTACAAATTCGTTGGGAAAGTTTTTTGATAAAACCAAACCGGATTTTAAAATGATTCTCCCTGTTTGAAACGCTTATCTTTTCGCTCTTGTTTTTTATCACGAATAAACAATAAAAGAAAATCAACACACAACTGAATGAGATTTTTGTTTGTACATATGGACGGGGTAATATCATTGAACTTGTTCAAGGACAAGAGACCCCAAACGGAAATAAAGCGGAGAGAAGAAGAAATCTGACAAGAGAATTGATTTAAAAAATGGATCTCTGTGTGATTTTCAACCACCAGTTGGGAAATAAATGAACTCCTGTGGCTATATGCCATTAAGTATTTGTTGCCGGGTTGTTTTTTTTACCGCTCGTTCAATTCCAATTGACGCAATTTACTGATATCGATTAGCAAACACTGCGATCGAGATAAACACAGTCGCAAAAATGCGACAACTGGAGATAACAGCAAATCAAAGCCAAACCTTGTTGAATAACTGATTGTGAAAATTAAAAAGTTATGGCCGAATGAGGAAATCTTTCCACTAGAATTTTTCTACGTCCACATTTGCTCAGTATAAAGTGCCAACTGATTTGCGTATTTCGCTCAAAAGACGAATCTCTTGGCCGTGTCTTTTGTTTACTGTTTGCTCTCGCTTTGATATGATAAATCTGCTTAAAATGTCTTCGTAGATTAGATATTAGATATCGCTCAGTGTATGTACATACACTGCAAATGACGTATGAAGGCAAAGAAAACCTGCCAAAAAAGCTGTGTTTTATGTTCCTGGCCTGTCCTAGTTCCATTCGGATGATAAACTGGGTCAACTGACATTTACTTTCAACTGGCGACAGCAGTTAACCAGGTAACTGGGTCGAATGAAAGTAAAATGCGTGAATTTACCTATTAAAGTTGGTGATTGCTATGCACTTTTTTAATATTTGATGTAAACAGAAAAAAGGCATGGACCTTTAATTTCTCTTTATTAAGTTTAATGTCATTAAAGTTAAAAAAAAGTTGTTTTTATTCGTTTCTTAAATAAATATATTTTTTAATTTATAAATTTATATTTCATATTTTTATTTTTATTTATACATTAAATATTTTAGAGTACTAAAGAATATTTATAGGATTTGGTAAAAAGAATAGTGTTTGGATCGGATGCAATTTTAGGTAAAAGGCAACATAAGGTATTGCAGATTTTCAAGACTTAATAAATATGAAAAAAATAATTAAAAAGATAATAAAAACCCATTACTCCATTTATAGCCCAAAATTCTTAGAGACTTCAAACAGATAAAATGTTGGTAATAGGGGGAAAAAAAAGAAGAATGTAAACGCACACAAACACACCCTTTTCGTGGCTTTCAGTGTGTGGGTGCTCATTGTCGTTTGGCACAATTTTGAACAATGAAAATGTATTATTTGAAAATACTTGGTTTTAACGGATCCCCGCCCACACTTACCACAATTGCCATACACATTTGAGTATAACTTTTGAAGCTTTTTTGTTGCTTTTCGTGCACGAGAAAATTGAATTCACGTCCACACGCACACACAGACGCACCGCTCGACTCTCACAGACACAAAATCCACGAATGCAATTTCCTTGTGTGTGTGTCTTTGTACGACCACAACTATTGCTCTTTTTTGACAATTGTAATTGACTGTCTCTTCAGTTGAACTGTTTTATAAGTGTTTTATATTGAGAATAATAGAAAATAGTTGGTTTTTGGGCGACATTAACGCGAAATCCGTCTGCTGCCTAACCTCAAATTTCTTTGTCGCACAGTCTCTCTCGCACACACGCAAACACACACAGTCAGCGCGGGGCGGAACCAATGGGTTAAAATCAATAAGCTTCACTTTGTTTTCTGGGGAAAAGGATCTGTGTAGTTTGTAGCACAAGATTGCACAATTTTCCACTGATTTCCAGGTGTATTTTACTTGCAATCGAAGTAGACGTTGCTCTCGAAAAAATTTGTGATTTCTAATAGGACCATGTGTGGATCGGGTGGAAATACCTAGGCAAAAAAATACCAAAATGACTGCTAGTAGATATGGTCTCACCAAAATGTACGCAGGGTACGGTTCGTGTCTCGGCTAAGCGAATACGGTCACACTAAGAGTGACGCGGCGGAATGGTTTGCGTCTCGGCTGGGCGAATGCGGTCACACTAGAAGTGACGTGGCTAAATGGTTCGTGTCTCGGCTAGCCCGGCGTACATTTTAGTGAGACCATATTTTACTGCCAATAAAGAGTTACCCTACTATTTACACACCGATATATTTACACCTCCAAAAGCAAGCGTTGATCATACGAATTAGTCATCTTGCCGACAACAGTGACAATATTTCCCAACAATTCTAAATACATTACTGCGTAGAGCTATAAATCGCCGAATAATCCTTAGGGGCATGTCCAAGCGAAAGGCCGAGGAGACACAGACCGACAAAATGGCAACGGCGGAAAAAGTTCCACAGGTAAGTGAAACCCAAACAAACTATTTGCATATAAACAAAACTATTATCTCTGCAGAACGATTACACTATTGGTCTAGAGGATCCTGTAAAGGATTACCAGAAGCTCATCGAGACCCGTGTGCAGGTGGACGAAATCGTGGACGATGATGTCACCAAGGAGAATTTCGATCGGACGGCTGCATCGGCGCGTGACGTCATCTGGCGGCTCTTGTTCGACTCGGAAGCCGCTACCACCACCCAGCCATCGAATGTGGAGAAGGCCACCCAGCTGCTGGAGGAATACCGTGGCGATGCCTGCTTCTACGACCCAACGCCCTACAACGAATGGATTGTCAAGCTGCGGGACGAGGTCCTCAGGAAGGAGCTCCTCGACTTTTGGCGCGAAGTGCTGGTGAAGAAGCAATTGGGACCCTGCTGGTCACGTGACTGTGATCTCTTCGATAGCGACGACACGCCACCCTTGGAGTTCTACGCCCATGCCGGTTGTACGGCCCCGTTTGCCGCCAGCCTGAAAGTGCGGGCTGAACAGGATGCACAAAGTGAGGTGCCCGAAGTGCCCACCACGCCGGGCGAACTGAGTGCCGATGATACCGCCGCGCTGTCCGGTGATTTTGAGGCAGTACTTACCAAGGAAAAGCCGCTCGAAGAGTATCGTTCGCTAATGAAGCGCTTCGTCCTGACCAAAATCATTGTTCCCGACAACGTTCACCAGGCCAGCGTGAAGAAAATGGCCGCCGCCGCCAGGGAGATCATCTGGAAGCTGCTCTTCGACGGCACTCCCTCGCCGGAGGATCAGGACAAGGCCGCCGAGCTGCTGCAGGAGTACAAGGGTGATGCGGGCTTCTATGGGCCAGATGACTTCAACGAGTGGATTGTCAAGCTGAGGGACGAGGTTTTGCAGCGGGAGCTGCTCGACTTTTGGCGCGATAAGATGGTGAAAATGGAACTGGGACCCAGTTGTGCACGTGACTCTGACTATTACGATAACGAGGATCCGCTGCCGTTGGAGTTTTACGAGAGGGCTGGCTGCAAGGCTCCCTTCGAAGCCACCACCGAAGATGATTAGATGATTATCATCCTGGATGCAAGATGGCAGCTTATCTGAGATATCAGTGGGCGAAGAAAAATTGTATACGGAGCCGCACTTGAAAATTATATAAGTTTGGTAAACCCTTAATTTATTTGTAAGGTCTCCATCCAAATGACCAAGTTACTTTGTTAAAAAGAGTGTTTCCTTACTTTTCAAAATTGTTGTTCAGAACAGAATCTCTCGAATTACAAATTGTAAAGCATTTGACATTATTTTGTAGATCAACATGTCAGATTTGTTAAAAACAAGATTGAATAAAATTTTAAGCTTTGTATTAATTTTGGATTTTGGTGTTTCGTAGATTGATTGGCAGGTTACTCGATGAATGCACTTAGGTGAACATATAAATCAATCGTGGGGATCCTGTTTTTAGTTTTTTCCTTTTATTAAAAAAAAGTTGGTTAGAAATGGATTACAAATTTTAGGCGTTTTTTAAGGATGACCTAATATTTTTAAAATTATTATTCATGTGATTCTGTATATTCAAATTATATGCAAATTCTCGCAAACTTTAACCTCGAAATATTATTTATACTTTTTTTTTTACTTTTCGTAGCACAAAAATGAAATTAGAGTAACTTATAGAACATTCTACTTAAGAGATCCATTAATTATTTTTCTTTGGGTTTTTTAAATATAAAAATATATAATGGCAATTTCTATTTTATCGTATCACAAATTTTTCGTTTTAAAAATACGTTTCTCTTCGGGTTTTCCTTAAACCTTATTCACAAAAAAATCCGTTTTTTGGCTTAGAGTTCTAAAACAATCTTTTTGTACTTTAATATAAATAATGACTGATATAATCGAATTAAAATAAATAATTTCAGCACAGTTTTCCTTTTCGAGTTCATATACTTACAGCTAAATATTAATTTATGATGCTTAAATATTGGAGACCTTTTCGTTACATATTCAAATCAATTTGGTTTATTTAAATTATAACTAAACACGAAATTCCTTGTAAACTTTAAACTATTAAATACCGAACACAAAAAGTAAACTAAAATCAATTTCGAAACTTTCACTGACTAGAGAACATTTATCCATTGTTCCTGTTCTTGTTCCCGTTTTCACACAAACGCTTAACTAAAAGCCATAATCCATAATCCGGAATTCGAATAGGAATTGGAAATGGCAATAAACATGTACAAATAACTCTAAAGGGCTTTCACAACATTGGGACAACGCAACGAGAAATAAACCTAAAAATTTGCGAACGAAAAGAAATCATGGTTTTCGGGCTTGAGATCTTGGCAGATCAGTTTGGAATTCATATTTTGAGCCTCCCTCCTTTGTTACTCGGCGTAGAGCAGGCGGGATCGTGACTTCCGGAGGCCTCGAGAGCCTCCTCCTCCGCCGATGCCACTGTCGCCACCCTCGCCGCACTGCCAGGATTTAGTTTTGGCCCGAAAGTATCGGAACTCATCGTTGTGCGCCGGCGCCAGCATGGGCACATATTGGCTGGGATCGCACAGCTGGGCATACAGGCCGTAAAACTCCTTGTACCCGTTGTGCAGGATGTACAGCTCCGGATAGTCCAGTGCCGGGTAGTTGTGGGCATGCTGGCTTCTGTCGTTGCTGCGCAGGAAGCGCAGCAGTTTGGGACCGCGTTCCGAGGAGAACTCGCAGTGGAACACGAAGATGCGACGATCCTCCTGGTTTTCTGTGAGGCAGGGAAATGCCTCCTGTATCTGGCCGCGTGTGTACAGATTGCGGGCTCCCTGTATGTGCCCGCCCAGGAACTCGTAGGGATATCGACAGTCGATGATCTCGTAGCCACCGTGGCCGCCCAATTGCTCTGCAAACTCCCCGCGAATCAGCCTGGCCAGCGTTTCGCTGGAGATGGTCTTCAAATCACGATGTCTGATGCCTGTAACCAAACAGGGCAGCGCGCAGGGCTTGCTGAGATCGCCTATCAGCTCGGGTTCATCGCCCAGGGCGCTCATGATTTCGGCATCGTTCATGGAGAGCGTCCTTGTCTGCAGCTTTTTGGTGGACAAGTTGTTGTTGACTTGACCCGACTGATTGTCATCCTCTTCCTGCTGATTACTGGGAAACAAACTCATGCAGCGGCGTAGGCTCCGTGGTTTTCCAGAGGATTCCTTCTCGGGATGCCCTTCCGATTTAAGCTGCCCGCTGAGGAGAACTTCCAGGTCATCGGGTAGCTCTAAATGTTGATCCTCCGCCGAATCCAGCTCAAACATGGCCATGTACTCATCGTCCAGGGAGTTTCCCGAATCGTAGCTGGAGCAGGAACTGCTGAAGCTGCTCAGCGTGCGCGAGGAGAGGCTATTGAAGGAGTTCAGGGTCCTGGCGCCCGCCTGGCTCCTCTGCGTGGACTTGGGAGTGCCCTCCAGTCGCGCTCCACGCATATTTTGCGACAATTCGGTGATGGGCGAAAGGATGCCGCCGGCGGGAATGTGCCGCTTGAGCATCCTTTGCAGCGGAGTCTCCTGCTTGCGCTTTTTGGCCTGGCTCACTATATCCACATCCTGGGGATCTTGGTTCTCCTGGCCACATGCCCCCGCCCCCGCCCCGTCACCCTCCTCCTCCTCCACATCGAGCATCAGCCGCTTGCTGGCCATCTGGGAAAATAATCAAAAAAGAGACAACAAAGTTTGGAAGTCAGCTGTAAGCGCGGCAAAATCAGCTGGAAATCGCTTATCCCGAATCTTACCTTGATCTGTTTGCAGCTTGATTGATTGCAGCTACCTATTAAGTCCAATTATTGGTTTGCAGGCATGCGTAGTGTTTTTTTGCCAAACTTCTTGGCGTTTCTCTTGCTTCTTTTGCCGGTCAACTTTATTGGCGCCTTTGGCAACTCCCCATTCTACGGCTTCGATGAATTCACCACACCACCAAACTTACCACGGCGGCATATGTAAACTGGCGCGCTCTCAATGTTTGAATTTCGATTTGTTTATTTTGTTTTTTATTTGTGTGGTCGTTTAAATATTTCATGTCAAGGATCAGTTAAGTTTTGTTCAGTTCTAAAATTTTAAATTCCCAGCAATCTACATGATTTCGAATATTCCTGATCAGTTGGTTTCGCTTTCTCTATGCCATATTTATATTTCGATGCTTATAAAAAATTAAAAATTTAAGATGATCTACAAAATAGATGAACAACGTGAATTTACGTTTATTTTCAGTCCCTTTATATGGGGAATACAAAATATTTAAAAAACATCGATAATACCCCGCCAAATATCGATGTTACCGATGTTTTGAAACATAGTTGCTTTATCATCTCTAACCGCTATTTTGTTTACCTTTTTTTTTTTTGAAGAATTTATATTGCTAATATTTATGAAATAAAATATGCCCGAATTCGAAAACTTTAATGTTAAAACAACAATAGACTGCAAGCAAGGAGCAGTTCGCGCTGTGCGCTATAATGGTGAGTCCTTCTATATTTAATTAAAACAATATTTAACCCAAAATGATTTATTATTAGTTGATGGAACCTATTGCTTGAGCTGTGGATCTGACAAGAAGATAAAACTGTGGAATCCTAATTCCGGACTGCTCCTCAAGACTTATGGAGGTCATGCAGACGAAGTGACGGATGCGGCTGTAATACATATATTTATAAAATATTTATGTTTTTAAACTGAAATATTATTATTATACAGGGAAGCTGTGAAAGCAGCTATATTGTCTCCGCCAGCTTGGACAAGAGCATTATCTACTGGGATGTGTCAACTGGTGATGTCTAGACACCTGACTTCTTAAATTATAATATTAATAAAAATCTATACTTAATTCTAGGAGCTCCTGTGAGACGTCTGCGTGGTCACGCCGGTGGAGTTCGGTGCGTTTGCTTCAACGAGGACTCCTCCGTGGCCATTTCCGGGGGCCGGGACAATGCGGTGATGTGCTGGGACATTCGAACGCGTCGCCTGGATCCCGTCCAGGTGATGAAGGAGGCCCGCGACTGCATCACCACGGTGGCAACGAACGAGAATCGGATCTACGCCTCCTCCCTGGACGGATGTGTGCGGACCTACGATATTCGGGTCGGTGAGCTGACCTGTGATAAGGTGGGCGAACCCATCACCTATCTGGCGCAGACCCGGGATGAGCAATGTCTGGTGGCCGGCTGCCAGGATAGTGTGGTGCGACTCCTGGACTGCGAGACCGGAGGTCTGCTCTCCGAATACAAAGGACACCGCGGAGATGACTACCACATCGAGTGCGGAATACTGGCGAACGATGCTCATATAGTCACGGGATCTAGTGATGGAGATGCCTTTGTCTACGACCTCCTCGAAACGAAAGTTCTACAGCGCATTCGCATAAGTAAGCAGTTAAATTTGTATATTAACTTGGCATTAACATAGTTGTATTTTTGGTAATTTTCCTCAGGTGATAATGGCGGAGTAGTCCACTCCCTAGCCACTCATCCCAAGCGACATGAAATGCTTTTCGCCAGACGCCGGGATATGTACGTTTTCTCCACGGATTTGCAAATCGAGGAAGAGCAATTATAGTTTCTAGTTGTAGTTATTTTAAGTGTATTAGAAATAACTTACCTCAATAATATAAAATATATTTTTTAGGAACCCGCCCAAAACCCAATTAAAAAGTTGTTTATATTTTTGTTGAGGGAAAAAGGAAAAACCATTTATTTGACATAATTTGTTGTATTTTTTTGTTTTCATAGAGCATGAATGTATGTAGTAATATGTGGTTGTTGTTTTTGTATGATCTGGCTTATATATTCTTCACGATTTCGATTTCTTTAACTATGAACGGCCTGCATAATGATTGTTTAATCAAATATATTTCGAATGCGGACAAGTGGGCGAGGAGCTGCCTTCTTGCATTTGCTGTATCCTTCTTCATCATTCTCATAGTCTCTCTCCTTGATGGGAAAATGCGGGACGCCAAGCCGCGGCAACGCTGTGCGAACAAGTAATTCTTCAATTCGAATGGGTGATGTCTCAAGAGTGGCGCCCGAGCAGGGACACTTGGTGTCGTAGCTGGGCGAAAATGAGACGTTTTCAAGAAATCATAGGAAAGTAAAAAAAAATTAATAAACGCACAGCGTCGGCGCGGCTTGGCGAAGGGAGGGAGACAGCTGCAAGGACCTCTCGCTCACACGTGCGCATTCTTTTCATTTTTAAGGGGGGGAGAAGGGGGGATTTTTGTGTGGGGATCGAGGGGTCGAGGGATTCTTGGTTAAACTCTCTGAACTTGTCGTACTTATGTTACTAAAGCATATTAAATATGTATGCAAAGTATTTGTTTATTGTAGTTTAGTAGTAATATTATGTAATGTTCCGTTACTTATGCTCGTATGTACTCTGCATGTATTATTTATATATGTTGTGGTAGGTATGCGTAATTTGTATATAATTTATATTTATATATATATTTATATAATAGTTTATATAATAAACGTTTTCACTTGCTTTTAGTTCTGTTTTTCGTTTTGCATTTTTTTCTTTTTCTTCTCCTTTAGATTGTTTTAATTTTTTTGTTTTCGTTTTTTTTTTTTTTTTTGTTTAATGTTTACCACCCACGCTCTGCACTCGCTTACATAATTAGACTTAAATTTTTTTACAGAAATATATCAACAAAAACTCAATAAGTTCCATTCAAAGTATATAATGTACGCCTATAAACGTAAAAATTAAAGATAAGAAAAAATAATTTAAAAAAAGGTAAAAATTAATGCGATGGTGTTTATAGAGTTCAAGGAATCATCAATTAAACGCGCTTAAACAATTTCGGCATCTCTCAACTTTCGTTTTTTTTTCGCACTCTTTCACTGCATGCAATCCAAACGAAGTAACCAAACAAAAATTCATTAATTTTATGTCTATTTTCTTTTTTTTCTCTTTTGTACTCTGTTTTGTTGTTTCGGTTTCGTTTCTTGTCGTTATGCTGTGTTGTCTGCTGCTCTATTATGTTGTTCAAAATCAATTGCTTAGATGCATTTCTGTTGCTTCTGTTAATTCTAGTTTCTTAACCAATAAATGAACAAATGTTATGTGTATTTTCTTTTTCTTTGCATTTAATTACAGTGGCTATAATGTGTGTGTTGTGTTGTGGTTTTGTTGGCGTTTGAAGCTTGGAAAGAGAGGTCTGGTTGAGTTTGAAATTAAATCATAAATATCCCAAAAATACAAAAATTGATTTAGGTCTGCTTGGTATTTTCTTTTTTTGTTTCTTTTTGCTCTGTTTGCTGTTAAACTCTTACTAATTTACATTCTTTTGCCTCTGCCTCTGTTTGGTAACAGTCTCTTTAACATTTCTGTGGCTACCGCTGCTGATGATGCTATTTTTACTGCTTACAATAAGGTTAAAGTTACTGCTACTATTGTTACTGTTACTTTTACTGTTACTGTTACGTTGCCGGGAGGCAGCAAAAGGATTTTGCTTAGTAAATTGTTGAGTGGTTGCTGTTGTTGTTTTTGTTGTTGTTTTCGTCGGTGTGGTGGTTGTGGTGGTTGTTGTGTCCTGGCGAGCGCCTTTAATACTAGCTCGTGCCCCAGTCACAGCTGATGCCCCACGTTGGGCGCCACATCTTCCTGCTGCTGCTGCATTACTTCCCGAACTCGAACCCGAACCCGCTCCCATCTTGGGGCCATTGAATCAGGACGACGGCAGCTGCTTGGCCACTATCACGCCCGGCCGGCATTGTTTCAAGGCTGTGGTGATGGTCAGCTGCTGGGCGCTGCCGCTGCCATTGCTCCCGGTGATTATGGTGCCCGCCGTTGAGCCCGCATGCAAATGACTGCCGCCGCCGCCGCTGCTCCCATGGCCGCCCGTCGTTTGCACCTTGAAGATCGCCGTTGGCGTCACCGTGGTACTGCTGCTGCTCGCGGAGACCAAACCGGCGGCATCCTTGGCCGTCTTGGCCGTAATGATCACCTGCTTGTTGCCGCCGCTCTTGAGCTGAAGGAAGGGTCGCAGCTCCGCCAGCGCTGCATGCTGCTTGCCCGTGGTGGTGAGCGCCAGTGGGGCATCCTGCGCCAGCCGATGGTGATGCAGCTGCTGGTGCTGATGATGCACTCCAGTCATTTGGTGGTGATGCTGCTGCTGCTGCTGGAGATTCTGCTGACCAAACTTCTCTTGGCCGCCACTGCCGTCGGCAAAGAGATGATCGCCCTCCAGATGCCTGATGGCCTGGACAATGGTCTCCAGATTCTGACGATGTGGATGCTGATAGTGGGTGGTCGTCTGGATCGAGGGCAGGTCGTGCTTCTCCGCCTTCACCTTGACAATCTTCTCGTGGATGCGCTCCACCTCCACCTTGGGCGTGGCCTTGATGGCCGCCTGCAGAATGGGCTGCAGCATCGCAGCACTCGACGTGCATCCTTCGGCATAGGCTTTGGCAATTGCGTTCACGTTTACCTCGTTCTCGGACTCCGTGGAGCTGTTCGACGACAGGATAACCTCCTCGTGCACCTGATCCTCGGTGATGATCTCCGCGGCGGCATCGGCCTCCAGTTCCTCGATGCTGGAGCACACGACCACCTGCTGTTGGCCGGTCATCTCGTCGATCTCCACGTAGGAAACGGTGCCGCCCAGCTCCTCCAAGTCCTCGCTGCGCACAAAGTTATCGGTGTGCTCGATGACCTCGCGTGGAATGTAGGCGCCACTGCTGCCCCCAGATGCGGCTGCCACCGCTGTGCCGGGCGGTGCCGTGGCCACACTGTACAGCTGCCGCTTGATCATCTGCAGCTCATCCTCGAGCAGTCGACGCAGGCTGCGCTCCTTCTCCAGCTGCTTCTTCGACTCGTGCAGCTCCTTGGCCGCCAGCAGGGTGGCGTTGCTCAGTTTGTTGGCCGCCGCTCCGCCAGCCGTGAGAAGGGTCATCGGTTCCGGGGACATGGAGCCCAGTCCCTCGTCGGAACTGTCGCTAATCGCCTGGATGTTGATCACGTTGTCCGTCAGCTTGCGCTTCTTGATGGCCACCGCCGTGGAGTTGCCCCCGCTGGCATTGTTGGAATCGTTGTAGTTGCCCCCGGAGTTGGCTCCACCCTCGCCGGCTCCTCCTCCGCCGCCGCCGGCCTCGTGCTCGCCCACCTGTCGCTTCAGCTCACTGTTCTGCGTCAGCAGCTGCGTCTTCTGGTTCTCCAGCTCCACGATGTATTGGAAGGTCTGTTGCAGGATGGCGGCCTGTAAAAAAAAAGGGAGAAATTGGTTAGCAAAAATATTTAAAGAACTTATGAGGAAATTTAAGGGGTAAAAGCCTCAAAGTTTACGATTTTAATGGTAACAATAAATTATTAAATTGCATTTCTACTTAGTTTAAAAAAACTAAAATTATATTTTCTAAAATTCCTTTCTTCATTTCATCTCCAATATATTTATGTTTGTACTATCAAAATATTTTAAGACCATAAATTAAAAATTAAGTGGTAAGTTCCTTAAATATTTGGGATTTAAATGTTAATAATAAATTATTAAATGGTATTTCTTCTTAGTTTCAAAAAAACTAAAATTAAATTTTCTAAAATTCCTTTCTTCATTTCATCTCCAATATATGTATTTTATTTGTATCATCACATATCATATCATATTAAGTTGGAAAATTATTAACCCTTTAATAACGCCCCACAATAAACGTCATTCAGAAGACACACACACATGGGGAATCTTCAGCTGAGCGTAGAAAAAGAAGGAGAAAAACGAGAAGGAGGGTGAGGACGAAGGCGAAGCATAATTGCCGAGAGCAGACTTAATTGCAACAACACACAACACATAAATGGCCTGGCTTGTTGCTTTTGCATTTTGCCTTGACTGTTTTTGTTTGCCTTTTTGCAATGTTTATAGTAAATAGTGTAGTAAGCCTGGAAAACAAGCTCGCTTGACGAAAAGGTTAAGGAACCCCTGTCCTTCAAAATGCGCGCGCTTCTCAATTCAGGCTTTGTGCAACACACTGTCAAGCAAAAAAGGCGTGGGAAGTTAAAGTGGAAAAGGCAGAAATGTGGATCGAGGAGGCAATAAGGCCATAAAGGTGAAAATCTGGCTTAGAAAGTCACGAAGACAGCATGCAAATCAACGTAGGCGGTCATGTTGACCACATATTCTGTAGAATTCAGAGTTATTTAAGGTTGTGTTAAAAAAGAGGAGTTTCAAATAAAGTTGGTCAAGCTTTTCTTTATGAAGACAAGCTAAAACTGCTTTTTAAATAATAAAAATAAAAAAAAAATAAAAAATTCATGTGCATAAAGTTAGCAATGCAACTTTTGAAAATGCAAATTTTTTTCTATCGACAATTTGCCGTTATTTATCCGTAAATTATTCGTGAAAGAAAAAAATTTGCCGCTCAATTATTTTTAAAATTATGAGATGTTCTGCTAAGTTGATATCAACTTAGCAGAACAACTATGTTTTTTAAAAAAAAAAATGTTAAAACAAGAGCAACTAAATTTTTTCTTTCACGAATAATTTACGGCAAAATAACGGCAAATTCCCATTAAAAAAGATTTTGGATATTTTGAACTTTAGTGGGGGTGTTCTGCTAAGTTGATATCAACTTAGCAGAACATCTCATAATTTTAAAAATAATTGAGCGGAAAATTTTTTTCTTTCACGAATAATTTACGGATAAATAACGGCAAATTGTCGATAGAAAAAAATTTGCATTTTCAAAAGTTGCATTGCTAACTTTATGCACATAAAAAATTCCTAATGAAAACCAACCCAATATTTTTAACCATCCTTGTTCGTTAAAAACACCTCTATATAAACATTAAAAATTATTCACTGGACCTAAAGCTCTTAACAACAGTAATAAGAATTTTCGGAATAATAACGTTGAGATACAATAAATAAATAAATATAAAAAAGCCACAACTATGAGTGACATTTTCATTAAAAAATCTCAGTCGGAGACCAAAATCCTGAATTTTTCTTCCCTTTTTTCCACAAACAAACACATAAATGGCTAAGGAATGCGTAAGCATTTTTTAGACTTTGATTAAAAAACCATAAATCTTATGCTGCTTTAATGCAGTTCTTTTTGTTGCTGCTGTTGTTGTTGTTAAAAACTTGTTTCGAATTTGGTTTGTTGTCGGAGGTCACTACTAAAAAGCAATAATAACAACTAAAAGATGGCCAGGCGAGACAACAACAACAACATTTGGTCTGCCGGCATCGCACAGCTGCTCTCGCTCTCTGCCTCTCTCTCTCTGACGGTAATTTTACCTCATCCGTGTACTTGTTGTTGTTCTTCCAACTCAAAGACAGAGAGCGAGAGAGAGAGAATGTTATTGTGTACAGTTTTCCTGGGGTTTATTATTGTTGGTTCCAGTAGTAGTAGTACTAGCCAAGCGATTTTCAATCCCAGACTCCCCACCCCGCCATATCTTTCTATATCTATTTCCATCGCAGACGGCGGCATTGCAATGTCGTGCGCATATCTTGTAAGAAATCGACAACAAAAACTGCAGAGCAACAAAGGCGAGAATAAATCACATAGCATATTTAAGTTTTCTAGCTCTGTGGTTGCTTTGTTGGTGTTGTTGTTGCTACACAGAAAGGTCGTTCATTGACTTGTCTATTGGAAATCGTCGCAGACATATGGGAACTATTGGAAAGATAAGAAGAAGGGGGCGCAAAGTGTTGCCGCTTTGTCTGATAAAAACTTTGATCCAAACAAAGGCATAAGGTTTTGTATTTGTATGTATATTTATCAGGAGACTAATGCGCACCAAGTAACAATAATTAGTTCGTATGGTAGAAAAGATAAACAAATTTTAAAGACATTTACTTCTGTTTTTTAAATAATAACGTACTTCAATCCTTTTTTAAAATATTTGACTATTGTATTTACATTTCTTTTAAGTGCAATCACTTCCCAAAAGGAATCTTATCAGATGAAATGCACTTGTTCTTTGGATGCATTGGAATAATCATATGCTCTTTTCTCTCATTCCCGCATCATATGGTACTCTCTTTCCCCGTCCCCCTCTCACTAAACAAGAAATCGCGTTCACTAGCCGGCAAGTTGAGGCCTTGGCTAATAAGAAAATGTCGTTGCCATCGCAATTATAGTTGTTTTTGTTGGGGGGCGAAAAATGCCGGCAAAAGAAAAATCAACCACCATTTTATATTAGTGTGTGTAAACAAAACGCAAAGGCAAAAGCAAAGGCATATAAACAAAGCAACGGAAAAAAAGACGATCAAACTGGCGGCTCGGTCCAACAAGAATCCAATTCAGAGCGAACACAAGCCAACCAACAGAGCAACAACACACAACAGACGGCCCCTTTTGCGGTGACTGTACTTTTTTCCAACAAGAAGCCAGCAACAGTTCCAATACGAAAAGTTTTTCAATATTCGCCGGCGTCGTCGTCACAAATGTTGCTAGAGAGAGCCGCTCTCCCAGCCCAGCATGTGCTCTCTTTCAGGTAGGGGTAATTGCATGACGTTAGAGCGAGACGGCCATGGGCTTCGTTGGGTTTTCGTACTCGTTTCGTTTTCGTTCGTTCCGCGAAACGGAAACCAGACGTAGCGAAAAACATGTGGGCCCAAGCTTTTTCGGCCTCTCCCACGTGCTCTCTCTTTGAAGCTTTCCAGTTTATTCCCGATTGGAAGTTGCGCGCCCTCTCTCTCTGTCTCTCTTTGACAGCTGACTTCTATAAATGGCGCGTCTGTTTCTGGCGCTCTTGTTGTTGTTGTAGCACCAACGCTTTCGCTGTTGTTGTTGTTGTTTCCTCACCCTACAACTTGCACTACAATTTCGTTGATTGAATAAAAGAAAATGCATAAAAATAGCAAATACGCCGCCGGCACGAGAGAGAATTCGTCATCAGCTGAGCTGGCACTCAAAAGCAGCCTACGCCTTTGTATTGGAGTATCTGTGTGCGAGGCATTGCGGTAAATAAACTATAAATGAAAAACATACTTTTTACAAACCATAAGATTTTAGACTTCTAGAGCTCCCAGAAAATCTCTATTCCATTGATTACGATCTTTGTGCGTATTGTTGCAAATGAATTTCAGAATAACCAAGAATTTGTATTATTTTTTTTTTTACATTTCTTACATATTTTATCTGGAAAATCACCAGCTGTGTAAAATCGTTGTATTTATTTATTTTTTCTTTGTTATTTGATGGCAAAGTGGGCGAGATTTCGAAGAGGAAGAGAAGGGAGACCACCCAAAGAAAAAACAGCCGGAAAACAAATCCAACCACCAAAAATGCATCAGCACCCCACTTTCCCTTCGTTCCTCCCCCTTTTGATTTTTTCTTTGTATTTTCCTTTGTTTTTTTTATTTTATTTTGGCCTACGTGCGTGCACGCATGTTTCTAAGCGTGGCGCTTTCCTCTAGGTGGAATGCGGTTAAAATGAAAACATCCATGGAAAATCAATTTATTTTTACTACATTGGTGGTTGGCTCGCCCCAAAAACAAACAAATAGGTAAAAGAAACCTCAGGTTTTTATCTTCTGGCCCAAATATTTATAAGCAATTAAACTAGATAGTTTTGATAACCGATAGGTAATTCACCGGAAACGGAAATTCTTGCTCAAAAACCAATAAACTTTTTTTTCAGATGAATCAAAATTTTATATTTTCGAAGTTTTCACTAAAATTTGCAAAAAAAAAACTTGGTCGTTTTAAAAATTAAATGAAACTCAATTGGGAACTTTTAAAATTCAGTCCTTTCCCCATTTTCAACTGATATTATTGTTTATTCTCATTATCTACCATCTGCCGGTTTGTTTTTTTTGTTTCTGTTTTATTGCGTCGCACGTCAGCGAAAAGAAGAAACAATTAACGCTACGTTCTGGCTTATCTTCTGGCTCTTCCTCTTCACCTGCAGATGATGATGACAGGTGTGTGCGAAGCGCCACGAAAAAGAGAAGAGAAACAAAACAAGTCAGCTGACATTAATTTTTTGCAAATTTCTGGCTTTGCCTTCGCTCTATGGCCACGCCAAAATTAAAGTTAGCAAAAATCGTATGTTTGATCTGCACGGCAAAAAAAAGAAAATGAGTATAAAAACTAAGATATTTTAAGAAGAAAACATTTCTTTAAAAAAGAATCCTAAATCATTAGTAAAAAAAAAATTATTTTCAAATTCAAAAATTTGAATTCAGTTTCATAGTTTTGGTCTAAGCATTTATTCACGATCTAATTTGTATTTCCTCTTATATCCTAGCGC